GGGATTTTATCCTTTAAGAACAGATAAAGTGTGACACTGCAGCTGTGAAAGGCAGAAAATGTATCCTTTTTAGAGACGCATAGTCACGCAATCAGCTATTTCATGTTTCTTTGACCCCTCTGCAGTACAATCTGACAGAGAAAGGTTGGAAGTACATTTATAGTTTTCAAGACTGTTCTTCCAAGAATTCAGTAAAAATATTCCTATGAGAAAAACAAATCAATTTCACCTTTTAAATGCAAGTTACACAACGTCTCTTTTTTAAGCCTATTCAAAGCGGCGATCAATGTGAGGAATAATAATTTTCAACTTGCTTGGTTGAATTACGGATCAAGATAAATACATCTGTGTTCGCAGTAACTTAAATTCAGTTGATTTAGTCACGCTGGCAGTAAGCACAAACAGCAAAATCCTTTAGTAATAAAAAAGAACAATATGCAGAGCCACACAACAATAATCTTCATTGCCAAATACCCATATCCCCATGTGGAAGAATTTACTTAAGAGAAAACACCATATCATAGATCTTTATTCACAAACCTTATTAGATCGGATCACTAACTACATGTCAATCAAATCCTCTGTGGCTTTGACCTTTATAGGTTTGACATTTAGATTCCTGAGGGCATCTCTAGAGGATAGGCTTTATGGCAGGCTTATGAGGGGACTTGTATAAATAAGTTAATTTCTAGTTTACCTCAGAGAGCACACAACAACAACAACAACAACCAGTGTTGAATCTGCAACTTGAAAGTGCAAATCTTTATTCACACCCCACAGGCAGTGGGAGGCATCTGAGAACAATGTTATTATCAAGCTGCAGCCACCACCAGCAAACATGCACAGGGCTTCTAATTATAATCACCTCTTGCAGAGTTTTCCAGGCAATTTTAATCAGGCGGCTTGATGCTGGAGAATTATCATCACAAAGACAGGACTCGGTGTAACAGTGACAGCCTTAGCTTTCGACGCTGAAGAAACACAGGTCCATTGATCTGTGCCACGGTGGGAATGTTTCATAACCGCACTGATTGAGACAGCAGTCAGGAAATCTAGCGCTCCAGCTGTTTCAATTGTGCCCACCTCTATAAGCCATAATGGTGATGAGGCAAGTATTACCATGTTCAAACACAAACCATCATCAGTGTCTTATTCTCTTCTTCTTTATCCACAAAACGCAGGAGATAAAATGACACAGGTTACTGTCAATGAAAGAATGGTTCACCCTATCTGTCATAATTTACTCATGTCACTGCAAACTTGCATGACTTGCTTTCCTCCACAAAACACAAAAAGAGTAATTTTGGAAATGCCAGTCCCACTTTTCCATGCAATCACAATGAAAAGCACCTTAAAAGTATCATTGGAAGAAGTCCATATGTCTTTATTTCGGGTCTTCGAAAGTCATGTAATATTCTTGTCTGAGGAACAGATACCATTTTAAAGCTCACAGTTCACTCAAA